GGGTCCTAAAGGGATTTAGAGGGGCTCAGCAGGATTTTAAGAGGCCCCCAGGGGACTTGGGGGTTCACTCACAGGAGGATGCTCCCAGCCTTTGCCCTGGTCCCAGCCAGGGCTGAGAGAGCCCAAATGGGGGCTTTCCCCATTTCCCCAGGGGGAAAGTTGGGGCACCCTGGGGGATTCTGGTGTGCTGTGGAGGGATTTGAGGGCACCCTGGGGGTTTTGGGGTTGGCAGGATTTTAAGAGGCCCCCAGGGGACTTGGGGGTTCACTCACAGGAGGATGCTCCCAGCCTTTGCCCTGGTCCCAGCCAGGGCTGAGAGAGCCCAAATGGGGGCTTTCCCCATTTCCCCAGGGGGAAAGTTGGGGCACCCTGGGGGATTCTGGTGTGCTGTGGAGGGATTTGAGGGCACCCTGGGGGTTTTGGGGTTGTTCTGAATGGATTTGGGGTCCCTTGGGGGATTTTGGGGTGTCTGATGTGATTTGGGGTCTCCAAGGGGGGGTTGCATCCCTTGGCAGTTTTTGGGGTCCCCCAGGGGTGGTTTTGGGGTGACTCAGGCAGGAGGATGCTCTCAGTCTTGCACTCCCTACAGCTGGGACTGGGGGGGGATTGGGCAAAAAGAGGGTTCAGGGGGGAAGGGTGACCCCCACATCACCCCACTGGGTCCCTGGGGGGATATGAGGGGCTGGTGAACCCCCACATCACCCCACAGGGTCCCTGGAGAGCACAGGGAAGTCATGGAGACTCCATGGGGTCCCTGGTAGGGGACAGGGTTGTCAAAAGAACCCCCAAAACACCTCATGGCATCCCTGGGGGACAGAGGGGTACCCCCCACTACCCCTTGGTGTCCCTGGAGGGGACAGGGGAACCCCACATCTCCCCACAGGGTCCCTAAGGAGGACATGGGGGTCATTGGGACCCCCTCACCCCATGGTGTCCTTGGAGGGGACAGGGGGACCCCATATTGGTCCCTGAAATGGAGAGGGGGCTTGGAGGTACCCCCACATCAGCCCTGGGAAGGCACAAGAACTGCACTGAATCTTTGGGGACCATCCTTCCCCCCTGGTGTCTCCCCTCACTGGTGGAGCAGGATGCGGTGCAGGCAGTGACCAGGTTGGTGTCCTGAGGACAGCTGTCATGTCGGGTGGTCTCCAACCCCTTGCAGTCCAGCTTGTCATGGGCTTCAGCGTGGGAGGAGAAGCAGGGCCCTGCGTAACGCTTCTTGCTAATCAGCAGGTACAGCCAGTACACCCAGGGGGGACACAAGGTCCGTGGGGACGCCCCCCGGGAATGGAGGACACCCTCAGGCATTCTCAGGGACATGGGGACAATCCCAGGGATGCAGGGACCACACTAGAGACACCCTTGGGGATGCATGATTGTCCAGGGACATGGGGACCACTCATGAAACATCCTTAGGGAAATGGGGACCCAACCAGAGACACTCTTGGGGACATGGGGACCCCTCCATGGTCATAGGGACTTCCCCAGGGACACTCTTGGGGAAAAAGCACTGGCGACTGCAAAGTTGGAAAAAAGTTTTTCAAAATGTATTTAGCATCGACTAAAGTGTTGACTCCAGCTGATGAAGTTAATAAAATCAAGCCATATGCTGTATGCAGTGATTACTGAATTAATAAACCGTTTTATCTCTGTTCCATGATTCCCAACAAAGGGATGAAAGATAACTAAGAAAGCAAACTCATTCACTGCAAAAGAGCCCATATGTGCACACCGACGTATTTTAGGTGTCCACAAAGTGGAAAGATTGAAAACTGCTGTTGCAGACAGCGCACAAAGCAAGCAGCCGACTAGCTCATTCAGCCACTTACAATGGGGTGGTAAATTAACTCTTAAACAAACATGTTCTAACTGAAATGTTAATCAAACTCCTGATGAAAGACCTACAGCAAATGCAGTGTTCAGATTAATTTCCTTCAGCTCACTTTTCCTTCACAACATACGGTGGCTTTAAGAGATATGACCTGTAACCTGAAGCTGCTGAACACCAAATTAGGGCACGTTATGACATTTTGCCAGTGGTTACACACAAAGTTGTACTGCCCAGTTTATCCAGAGTACGTAACAGGCTGGCAGCTCCTCCTCTGCCAGAGCTGGGACACTGTTTGGGACGCACGCCTGCTTCTCCTGACCTTGCCTGTGACCGGACTTTAAAATCAGCTTTAGAGAAAAGTCTACCAGATCAATCCAAGGAGCTGAATATACTTCAGGAGGAAGACAGCAAATGCATGAATGCCGCTCCCCCTGAATCTCAAAGGCTCTATCTAACACACAGAAGAACTAGTTTTGCTCAGTACGGATCCTCTGCTCCACACTGGAAATGACAGAGGCCAGCATTCTCTTCCTCCGTGCCTGCCTCGCGCTGCTGGCCATGCCCATCTACCTACTGTCATTCCTGGGCATATGGGAGCCTTTCTGCAAGAAGATATTTTTCCCTTTCTTCTTAGAGAAGCTTTCTGTAATTCACGAAAGGAATTCAAAGAAGCAGAAGCAGGAGTTATTTCGTAACCTACTTAACTTCAGGAGCCCCTCAGGAGAGCTGAAGCTGCTGGAGATAGGGACCGGCTGCGGTCCTAACTTCCAGTTCTACCCACCAGGCTGCAAAGTCACATGCACCGACATAAACCCCAACTTCCAGCAAGGCCTTTCGAGAAGCATGAACAAGAACCAGCATATCCACTACGAGAGTTTCCTCATTGCTGCAGGAGAAGACCTGCATCAGGTGCCCAGTGGTTCTGTGGATGCTGTCGTCTGCACCCTGGTCCTCTGCTCTGTGCGTGACGTGAACGGCACCCTGAAGGAGGTACTGCGAGTGCTCAGACCAGTGAGTATCTGAATAAAAAGTTGTTATTACCTTTATCATCTATTCCAGAGGCACTGCACCTAAAGATAAGGAAAAAAAAAAAAAGAAAAAAAAAAAGTTGTTTTTGAGCTTGCAAACCAGTTCCCTACAACCACTCTGCGCTGCTAAATGGTGCAAAGCTGGAGCAACACACTGGTCAGTCTGCCTTAGTCTTAAAAGTAGAATCCTAAAAGTAACATAGTTGGGTAACTGGAACAACCAATAATTTTATAAGTAATTATGGTATATCATTTAAAGCAGAACTGGTTCCTCTGGTGTTGTCTCTCCCCACACACACCAGGTTTTCTTTGGGTGGGAAGCTTGCTGATCGAGACTGAAAGTCTGCATTTTAAATAAACTGCTTTAGCCTGTTAGAAGTGAAGCTGATCTACCTGTGTTACTGAAAGTCTAATTAAATACTTTCATTCCCTGTAGTATACAGTATACTAAGCAAGTTAAAGATTATAAAAAAGCTGTTTTGTTGGGGTATTTTTGCAATAGACTTTTGGCCTTGAAAGTGTTTTCAAGGCAAGCCTCTGGGTTGTCAAAAACTGATGAGTTTGAGTAGGAGTTATACATTTCTCTTGGTTTCCTTCGAAAAAAAATCACACGCAACTGCAACTGAAAGAAAAAGACAACAAACTATTGCTATAATAAATAAGGGCTCCAATAAGTACACCCTTCACGCTTTTTGAACAGGCATTTTGAATCTCTGCAAGTTTCCTGCTTCGCTAATTCCAGCTGACACCACAAAAGCAGAAAGCGGGCCGGGAAGGGGTGGGGGAATACCGATGAGCGAGCCAACAGCACAGGCACCGGGCTGTAGCTGAGAGGAGGCGGAATGGGGGGAGAAGTTCAGCCTGGCCCCAGTGCCTGCTCTGTAAAACGACTTTGTTTTCCCCAGGGAGGCGCTTTCTTTTTCTTAGAGCACGTGGCCGCCGATCGTTCCAGCTGGAGGTACTTTTGGCAGCAGGTCTGCTTTCCGACTTGGAAACTCGTCTTTGATGGATGCTGCCTAACGAGAGAGATCTGGAAGAATCTCGAACAGGCCAACTTCTCGGATTTGAACGTACAGCACACCAGAGTGGTACTGCCCTGGACGCCCATTGAGCCCCACATCGTGGGGTACGCCGTCAAGTAGCTCCCGCTGCCCCACTGGGCCTGCTCCCCTGCCCCCCAGAGAGCCCTTGGCATAATCACTGCAAACAACACGGCATAGGCTAATCCAGACCTACGAATCTAGGTAACGCGGTGAAGGACTTAATTAAGTTTCTGATTCAAGTGTCAAATGAGAAGAGGGTCGGTTGTCTAAGTACCTCTGAAGCCCTCAAGCTGCTGACTGTGCCTCGCCGGACCCCAGCACAGCCATGCAGGATCCCCAGGGGCCGCAGAGTGGAGAACAGCTCAGCAGGCAGGAAAAAATAATGTATTAGCTCAAGGGAACATCTGACTACGTCTGCTGAACTCTCAGAAGGGATTCCTGCAGGTGCTCCCCACGCTGGGAGGCCAGACGTTGTAGGCCAGCACTGGGCTTGACCTGCTCCCTCTCCCACAGGCATGGCTTTGGCAGGGATGGAGTTAATTTTTCTTACTAGCAGCGGGTACCGTACTGGGGTTTGAATTCGTGCTGCGGTTTGAATTCGGGATGGGAACAGTGCAATAGCACTGGCGGGTTTGGCTGTCACTGAGCTCTCGAGGCAGTTCTGGCTCCTCACCCCCCGCCAGCGATGGACTGGGGGGCACAAGGGGCTGAGAGGGGACACGGCCGGGATGGCCGACCCCGACAGACCACGGGGATGTTCCATACCAGGAGACATCACGCTCGGTGTACAAAGCCGGGGAAGGAGGAGGAAGGGGGGACGTGCGGGGTGATGGCGTTTGCCTTCCCACATCACCGTTCTGCGGGATGGAGCCCGGTTTTCCTGGGGATGGCTGAACACCTGCCTGCCCCGGAGCACAGGGGATGGATTCCTTGTTTTCTTTGCTTGTGTGCGGCTTTTGCTCTACCTATTAAACTGCTTTTATCTCAACCCACCAGTTTTTCCTCACTTTTGCCCTTCCCATTCTCTCCCCACCGCAGCTGGGGGGGAGCGAGCGGCAGCGGGGTACTCG